TTGATATGAGAAGCACCACATTTTATATTTGCTTCTTTGAAAGAGATGCTTTCATTGGCCATCACCTGTCTGATTTTTTTTGTAGAATAAACGCGGGCATCTGACTGATTTGACTCTATGATCGGGAATGGAACAGTTGACGCAGTATTGCAAAGCTGACTCGCATGCACTATTGACATGTTCACCCCCGCAGGTAACGCATCTCAAAGAACTCTTACAGTTGGAAGTAACACAGCTAAAACATTGTCAGGAGAAGCATCGGTTTACAGGTGGTATGTATGGCTCAATTGGGCATTCAACCAACCAGATATTAATGTTTTTTGGGAGAGTCACACGCAAACACACCTTTAATAGCGGATGAAGGAACTCTTGTCTTGGAACCAGTAATGTCAATGACGGTGCCAAATATCCTTTCGATTCTAATAACCTCCGAAGTATAAGAATCTTGTACCATAGAGGAAATGCCTTCAGATATGGAACTGATAGAGAGCTCAGGATCAACGTTCCTAATTACCCCAACTTTTGCGGTTTTGAAATCCGGAATATAAACCATCATTCGTTATCTGAAGACTGAATTGACATGACAAAGTCATTAGTACTTGAGTAAAAGTCGAAGGAGATTATCAACTTATCCCTGCCGATTCTGGAGAGGGATAGGATTCCCTGAACATTCACTAGTCGCTTCGCGATGAAAAAAAGACAACAGCGGCGTCTACGGAGTGCAAAGGGTTAAATTGACCGCACCACACTGATCGTATACCCCACTTACCGCGCTCTTGGATGCTTAAAGGGTACGGCCGTGTGTTGATTGGCTAGCTTTAAATGTTTATAATTCTAAGAGGAAAGTTCGATAAAAAATGGATTAGGACTTTTTGTTTCAAATTTTCCTATTGTGTTTAATGGTATACTCCATATCTTTTTATTCTGAGACACCCTGTTGTTGTATCCTACGGTCAAATCCTATGGTCACACCGAAAGGTGTTATGTCTCTAAAGCAATATCTAAATCAAGAGACTCGGTCGAGTCTCGCGCCAAGTACAGGCAACCGGCTGTACAGGGCGCAGCGCGCCGAGACTCTTTACTCGAGTCAACTCCTTATACCTGTGTTTGGAACGAAATATCTTATAAACCGTTATATATGAGGAAAAGTTATTGATACATTCACTATAGGAATGGAAGGTTCTGAAGCGATTGCCACTAAGTTCAATGTGATTAGTGTACGAGATCAGGGCGTATTGAGATGGCGAGCGAGATGATTTTATTTCAGTTCCGTCGTCGTCGTCGTCGTCGTCGTCGTCTTCGCACGTCCATCGCATTTTTTACACAACAGATGGCGCTGACTGCTTTGCCTTCTTTACCTATTTGTACTCTGGATGGTGTTGGTAATTTACGAATACACAACACAATCAAATACACTTTATACGTAAAGCTACTGTTCATACCGACTTTCCAGTTAGTATAAGGGTGCTTTCACAACAGTAAAGAATTATTAAGTTTTTAATAGCATTCATGTGGAGCGCGCGTGTATGGATGTATGTATATGTGTGCTTCGGCATAGTTCCTCGTATTTTAGGTGACAGTTTTTAGAGATACAGGATGTCCAGGTGTTCCTCTCCGTAGTTTCCTGTATCTAGGTGGTCGAAGTAGAAGTCCAGGGTGTCCAGATGTTCCGATCCATAGTTTCCTGTATCTAGGTACTGGACGTGGAACTCCAGGGTGTCCATGTATTCCGCTCCGTAGTTTCCTGTGTTCATGTGTTGGATGTGGAAGTCCAGGGTGTCCACGTATTCCGCTCGTAGTTTCCTGCATCTAGGTGTCAGACGTGGAAGTCCAGGGTTTCCAGGTGTTGCACTCCGTAGTTTCCCGTGTCCAGGTGTTGGATGTGGAAGACCAGGGTGTCCAGGTATTCCGCCCGTAGTTTCCTGCATCTAGGTGTCAGACGTGGAAGTCCAG